AGCATCGATGAGATATTTAGTAGGTGGAATCTGATGTGGATTTACCAAAGTGAATAAGAATGCATTGGTATCGTTCTTATAGTTACCATCCGAAGTCCATGAAACAGCTGTATAACCTCCAAAAATAAAGTTATTGTTCGATCGAACAATTGTTATTGTTGGTCCTTTGTCATTGCAGCGTGTATGAAATGCATTTGCATCGAAACCATCACGTGATGCTTTATAAATTAATTCCCATCTTTGATAACGATTGCCATAGAATTCATTGAGTTTCATCTTCTGTTCTGGTTGAAGCAACGTTTCAATCGGAAAACAGTTTTCGATAATAAGGCGCTCTGCTTCTTGACGTTGTCGCAGAGCTTCATCACGTTGCTGTTCTGCCTCACGACGCTGTGTTTCTACCTCGTGACGCTGCCTTTCTGCTGCTTCGGCTATTCGTTTTTCAGCTTGTGTTAAAATATTGATAAGATTTTGCATACGAAATTTTTTGGCTTCGATGATAAGACTATGTACAAGTATATCATCTTCCATAACATCAATTGGGACGATATTTGTGCGCATATATTCAAGTATGTAAGTAAATAATTTGCCGTTTCGATCGATGAAAATGCTTTTATCAATAGGATCTCGTTCGAGTTCCGATTCCTTAGAAAATAGGTCCGTAAAAAAGGTATTTTTCTCATTTGTGAGAGTATCAATCGTTGTTTCATATTTATCGCCTCCAACATTAAGTATGACTATACCCTTGAGTGATGTTGTTGCTAGTTTTCGCTTGATATCTTTCCACTCTTTTTCTTCATTTGGTGCACTGGTTATCTTTGCTTCTAGAGTTTTAGCCATTTTTTCTGCTTCACGATAGAGTTGGTTTGTCGATTCGAGGCGTTCACTACATTTCTTCAATTTCTCATTGACGTCATCGCGTACTTTGTCGAAAGGAACTTTGAGTTCGTCCATATCGGCACGAAGTGCTTCGAGAGGGTTGTCTTTTATTTTGTCCAACTTTCAGTGTATGTTACTTCTGTCGATTTCTCTTGGCGTATGTAATTTTTGTTGCTTTTAAAGATGTAATTTCTTCTATTTTCGGTTGGAAAAAGACGCGTCTCTCTTACTTATCTTTTATCTTCTTGTGTTGGCGTATTCATATGAGAAAGACAATTTGCTTATGTTCTTATCTTACACTATTAATCGCCACTACTCGACGCGAACAAAAACTCGTTATATAACGATAGGAAAGTAAAACTCGACTGATTCGCTGAATGAGTCTTACTCGATTATATAATTTATCTTGCTGCTTGTGTTGTGATTGAAATAAAGATCTCATTACCCCCCCCCCTTCCCTCAGAAAACCGAATTTTCCTAAGAAAAGTCGAAGTCGAATTTTTATCATAGAAAGATGGGCCGAGATCTCCTGTTTCAGAATCTATATGACTTTTCTCAAAACGAATAGATTTTGACGGACTTATCGACTGAAACTTGGGCCCTACTATGATTTTTTTCGAAAAATTTTTGATCACTTTTTTAAAGTTTTTCAGTTTTTGAAAGATTCTTTCCATTGGTATTAGCGTTGACTAAAGATTTTTTACATTAATCACTAATAGCCTACTAATATTTAAGATGAAGATCACATACTCATAGCGTGTCCGAAACATTGATGTATAATTTGTGTATATTTCGCAAAAGTCGATTTCTAAAACTTATTTAGCATTTCTCTTAAAATCGACCTTTTCGAGCATACCGTTTACGCGGGCAGGTTTTTCTTCATAAAGACTCGATCTAGAAATGAGAATTTCTTTTTTATTCTATAGTAGACAGGAAGGGCTAGGTCGTGACAGAGTCGGATTTTGGAATTTCTCTTTTACTGATATAAAAATTGTAGATCTTTTATTTTGATCAGTGAGTTTTTGATCATGAATTCCAAGTATTTTTGGAAAAAGGGAACTTTTAAAAAGCAAAGGAAAGAAAGTTCAAAAATCGGGCTCTGTTACGACCTAGCCCTAGGGGCACTTTACAATCTAGACACCATCCCGGCCTGTTAGCTTTCAGTCCTCATGGCAAAAACCCCGCCTGCGCACAGAGTACTTTTTACCATTAAACCGACTATAACTCATTAGCATACTGCGGTTTGGGGAGATATTTCGCCCATAGCCTATCCTAGCCTAGACTCATATTATCTCAAATAGATGGTTGAAATCGGACGGAAAATAACAAAATTGATACCCGAGATATCCCTCCTTAATTTATTTTGTTATATTTCACTTTAGCTCAATATCAATGTTACGGAGGATACCAATCGGTATGCCTACGGTGAAAAACTATATCATTTAGTCTGTTGTATATGGATAGTTTACATTTGATGCAAGAGTCAAACTTATAGTTGATGAAGCTAGTATATTTGAATCAAATCGAAGTGTTCTTGTAGGAAACAGCTCAATATTCGTTCGTAGTCTGTGTCAAAAATAGGGTAACGGATAGAGATGTGCAAATTCTTGATTTTTCAGTCTCGGTTTCATAAATTCTTCGATTTTGGTCCAGGTCTCTATCGCGACTCGAAAGATTTTTCTTGAAAAGTCTCAATCTTGGTGGGCTGCTCCGTAAAGTAATCAGTAGTTTTTGAAAAAAATTCGGAAACTCAGAGAATTTGGAAATATTAGGGATGCACCAATTCCTGAGTTTTCGCACCGAGGATAGCATATTTACGGTATCCAAAACCTCTGATTCCAACCAAGTTTCCAAGTGAGGCTTCACCAACTTTGATCACCGTATCCGATGCCATTGCCACACTTGATCGAATAACATGAACATGTGTCAAACTTTGTTAGAATTGACCGAAAATTCACAATTCTTTGTCAATTCTGATAATTATTCATGGTATTCGATGAAGTCCGGCAATAGCATCGGATAGAGCGATCAAAGTTGGTCAAGTCTCACTTGAAGGCTTGGTTGGAACCAGAGGCTTTAGATATCGTAAATATGCTATCTTTGGTGCGAAAAATCAGGAATTGGTTTGTGAAACACGACCTAAAGAGAGTGTTAAAGTATATAGGGTAGAAATTTGCACCTCATCCCCATAGACCATGACAGACATTTTTATTAATTAATTAATATCTAATTAATTAAGTGATATCTAATTAACTAATTGGCATATAGTTTTTTAATTACCCATCACAGACTGTGACAGACGTAGCCATTAATCACACACCGTGACAGTTATATTAGTGAATTTTCTGATTTACGATGGAAGTAGGTCGATCATGTTTCACATTTTGGTCCCACAGAGATTGCGCTAACAGCCTTTTTCATATGTATACGACTTCAAAATTGGTCCAATTGAACAAAGTGTGTTCAAACGAATATACTGAGAAGGGAGATGCAAAGGAGGCCATGAGGGTCGAGGACCGATGAATGGGGATCGGAAGGGATCGATGACCATTGAGGAGCATAGGACCACTACTGATAGCATCTTCATTTGAATTCATTTGAACATTGGAACACGTTTGGTTCAATGGAACGAACTTTTCGAGTTCTACACTACTGGAATGGTCCTGCACATCTCTAGTAGCATTTGCCATCGATAAAAGGTAACAGTTTTCTTAACTGCCGACAGAAAATTCTTTCTTAACTGTGCATATAAGTCTTTATAAACTATACAATCAGTTGAAGTTGCGATAAAAAGATGGCTAAATGCTACTTTGTGTTTGATGGATGAATTATTGAAGAGATCATCTCGACACTCAAAGGATCGAATTCACCTTTTGGATTCAAAGCGTATGTAGATTTTCAACATTTATGATCGATCCCTGTTAGCAGTGAATTTGAGTGCAAAACTTCGCAATTCAATTTGAACTGGTGAGAAAAATATCATATCAAAATGTTCCATAGGGTTGACAACAAGAAAATTCCTGCGTATGTGCAATATAACAATTAATTAGTATGCCTGATTATATTGTGCATCGCCGAAGTTTCCACACCCACAAACTCAAAAGTTTCGCATTAGTACTACTGAATTATTTTTGGCACATTCAAATTGCACGCGATGTCGACGTCTGGAACACCGTTATTCTTCTTCGTGCCAACTCTGTCTTTAAGTGTGATGATTTTCCTAGCAGGACTGAAATCGGTCCAGCAACTCGGTACCAGTTTTGCCGGATCAGTTGAGGAAGTCAAACGAGCCGGTAGAGATCAGAATTTCCCCGGTTGAAAGTTTTCAAAAATTTTCCTTGTTAACTTTGTTTTTGGCCATAAAAGGTAAGATGTCACACGTTTTTCTGTGAGAATACGTAAAAAAGTGCTTCAAATATATATTATTTTAAACAAGTGTTCTCAGGTTCTTTTGAAAAGGATTCATTATGGTGCGTATCTTTTACATGCCCTCCTATACTGTTTCATATTTCGAGCCATTTTTTCTAAAAACAAATTTAAAAAAAAACCGTCATTTTTTCGCTGGTTTTTAACCTGTTTTCACCAGAACTTCACCAGTTGAACATGTGGCTGCAACCGGTCGTTTTACCGATTGGACGGGTTCGGTAAGACTTTTCAACCAGCTGGATCGGGCCAAACCGTTTTACCATTTTCCAACTAGATCCAGCCCTGTTTCCTAGCTGTGAACATTTTCAAGAATATAAAACTTCCCATGTCCTTTGAATCGGCTAAAAATTGCCGATTAATCCCGATTCATCGAAAAGATAATCGTGAGCTGAATCGCGATAGAATCGCCGATTATTCCCGATTATTTCAGCGATTTTCACGATAAATCGTGATTTTATGCAAGATTTAACCGTCTGTTTACTGATATTTTCTACTATTTCATTGGTTCTTTTGGAGATGCATATTTGGATTTTCTCTTGAATTCAATTCAATTTTTTTTGTTCTCAAGATCCAAGCCGATCAGATCGTGCGATCTGTCCGATCTCGAGCTGGTCCGATTCTTATCAGACCGCTTCAGTGTAGTCCTCTCCAGATCATGGACCGGGATTGGCATTTCCTTGATTAAAAATAACTAAGAAATAATTTATCAGAAAAGTATATTTCGAAAACTTATTTGTTATACATTGAACGGCGTTGTTTATATATCCGTGTGTGTTCATAACAAAACGGTGAATGAATAATTGTCATGATTTATCAATGATTTTTGAAAATCAGCTCTTCTCCCATAATCACGATAAAATCTGATATAATCGTCGATCTTTTAAAGAAATACGATAAATCACGATTTTACGCCAATTTTTTAGAAAATCGCGAAAATCGCGGTGATTCTCTCGACATGGGTTCACACATCAACATGTTTCTCTCGTCAATCAGTCTTTTCATGTACCTACCCCATCTCACTCGATTTTACTAAAATAACAATGCATTCCTCTTGTTTTCAAAGATTCTTGATTAAATCATTTTTTCAAGTGTGACAACGCGCAAAGTCGGACTGAAGATGAAATGAAATTGTTTAAAACACTGTCATAAGAAATACAGGCAGCATCAAATTTTAATTAAGTTTAAAAACTTCAATTTCTGTCGCAGTGAAATTTCGAGCTCCAGTGAATGTATTGTTGCCCTTTCCTGTTGTATCGATGTATGAATGAGGAAAATTAGTGTAACTCGAATTGTTCGCATTGCTGCCGCTAGCCACATGGAGATCATGACCTCCACCAAATGTGGGTCCATAGCTACCCGTATGATTAACTGTATATTGTATTTTAGCAGCATCGATGAGATATTTAGTAGGTGGAATCTGATGTGGATTTACCAAAGTGAATAAGAATGCATTGGTATCGTTCTTA